TCATTCTTTTTAAAAAAATAGAGATATTGAAAAAAACTAATTCTTATCATAATAAGCTTTGACTTTGATGTTTCTAAATTTAACTTTCAATTTGTTACACTCAATTACATTTTGTTATTGTACAATTCATTGAATTTTTGGCGAAAAATGGCTCTCACGAATGAAGAAAAAAGAGATATGATACAAATTTATTACAAATACGATAGAAACAGTGTTAGGACATCGGACATGTATTTAAACTTGTATCCCGAAAGACGACAACCATATCGAACTATGTTCAAGTTATTGGATCAAAATCTCACCGAGTTTGGTTCGTTTGAAAAGGCAATGAAAAAATTAGGAGTACAGAATCAAAAATTAAAATTTGATAAATGAGGTGTGTATGAGGTAAATTAGACACTGTCTCTTTTTCAATGAAAATAGAACTTTGAACAAATAACAATAATTAACTAAAATGAACTGAAATGCTGTGTTGAAGGTCCTAAATATTTTGATATTCCCTCTGACCGTGAACTCTATTTTCAGTGTACTCTATAAGAATGTATCCGTAATACTTAAGTCTGGAGACCTTGCTGGCCACCTCACCGGCCCATTATTCCCTATCCATTTATTACCAAACGTTTCAGTCAGGTAATTAGATACTCGTTTGGTAGTGTGCGGTGGACCATCATATTGAAACCAGATGTTGTTATCGTTAGCCAAAGGTAGATCATCCAAATAGTCTTCGAAAATCGACATTGAATTCCGTCAAATGAATGAGGACTCAAAATTCTTTCTTTGTAAATTCCTGCCCACACGTTAATACTAAATCGTACTCAAGGTTGAATTTCTTGGAACTGCCTGGGGTTGTTTATGCTCCAAATGTGTTCGTTATTTCAGTTGAATATCCCACAATTCGTAAAAGTGCTTTCTTCTGCCCAAATTACATTTTCCAAGAAAACAGGAAAATCAGGTCTTCTTATTAGCCAATTACAAAATTCTAATCGCCTTTCGGGATAACCTGGATGTGGCCACCGTTTATATTCCTTATCTATCCGACAATGAAATTTTGCCTAGTTTCTTGTTTATACAGTTATAACGGTGACGATATGGTCATTATCAAGTGAAAAACTATTCAAATCCCACCCGACGTTTCGGTATTGAATTACATCATATTATTGAATAATTTCATTGTTTTAGCGGCTGTGAATTCACGAAAAGTGACTGACATATTTTATTTCCATTCACAACAAATTTTATTGATTTGAGTTTGATGTCAGTGCTTTCATCTCTTCATTCATTTTTGGAAAATTCATTACAATATCGCTGGAAAATTCAGCGACCAACTTGGCTGACGTTGGGTGACATTCAAGATTTTGGACGATACAAGAAAGTCACATAGGAATTAAAAAACTCTGATCACGATAAATCAAACCAATTTGATCTATATTCGATGACAAAAGAAGAAAGACAATCAGCTGGTAAAGCAGAATGTTTAATATGTGGACAATTTTTCGAAATACGAGGATTGAAAATCCACATGCGAAAAGTTCATTCTAAATCAATCGATACTACAAGTTCCTATATTCCAATCCTAATAATGATTTTGAAGAAGAATTTGACCCTGGAAACAAAGAAGTTCCATTTCATATACATTTATATAATTTGAGAAGAAATATACATATTATTAAACGTATTCCGAAGGCTGTAAGGTTACTTTCTGCAATCACCCTCACAAAATTAATTAACGGATGTGTATCCAGGAATTCTCTCAGTGCTTGGAAAAATTTGCTCATGTTTGCTTATGAAAGTTTCAGTATTCAGAGAACAAAAGATAATCGAAAAATTTCAATTACAACAATAGTGAAGAAAAATTTGAATAGTTTCAATAATAACATTACAAGATCGACTAATTGTTATACCAAAATTTCTGATAAACATACAAATTATAATGACATCCTCAAAAAACAAGTACTCTCGAAAGTCTCTGACGGTGATATAACAGCAGATGTTAGATTTCTCTGTTCTACTGATAGTCTTGCTGAATTTGATGTTGCAACATTGGAAGAATTACGAAGTATGATACTTGGGGTCTAACG